AGTGTTGATATATAAATGTTTTTGTTGCAGCTTTCCTTGAGTAAAGCGTCAACTGATGCCAATGAGAAATGGGCTTCTAAAGAGTGAATACAGAACATGTCTGGTTCAGCCTGCTCCCAACAAGGCCGCATAAAGGAGCACACAAGAACAGCCACTACTTCTACTGGGTCTATGGCCAGAAAGAAACCATGGACATGTAATGTCTGTGATATAGGTTTTCGTCAAAAAACTCAGATAAAGGTTCACATGAAAAGTCACACAGGAGAGAAGCCATATACATGTAAACCGTGTGAAAAAACGTTTTATTCATCTGGCCATTTGGAAAAACACATGGAAACTCACACAGGGGAGAAACTATATAAATGTGATATTTGTGATGCTGCCTTTTCTTCCCAGGATAAATTAAAGCATCACATCAAAATTCACACAGGGGAAAAGCCATATAAATGTGAACTATGTGAAGCTGCTTTCCGAGATAGTGGTGATATGAAGAAACACATGAGAATTCACACAGGAGAAAAACCATTTAAATGTAATATGTGCGAAAAAGCCTTTACTGTATCTGGCGCTTTGAGAGGACACAAAAGAACTCACACGGGAGAAAAACCATATGAATGTTACATATGTGGAGTATCTTTCACACAGCAGTCTGCTGTTATAATACATATGAAAACTCACACAGGTGAGAAACCATATAAGTGTAGTATGTGTGATGCTACCTTCGCTGTTAAAAAGTGTGCAATTATACATGAGCGGACTCATACAGGGGAGAGACCGCATAAATGTGACATGTGTGAAGCAAGCTTCTCTCAGAAATGTGGTTTGAGAAAGCACTTGCAAACTCATACTGGTGAGAAACCTTTTAAGTGTGATGTGTGTATGGGAGCTTTCTCTTCAAAGGAAAGTGTGGTGTCCCACATGAGAAGACACACGGGCGAGAAACCATATAAATGTGATTTTTGCGACGCGGCTTTCACTACGGCAGGAGCAACCAAGATCCATCGCAGACAACATACAGGAGAAAAACCATATAAATGTGAACTGTGTGATTGTACATTCTCAGCAGTGGGTAACTGGACGACACACATGAGAACTCATACAAAAGAGAAGCCATATGCGTGTACGATGTGTAAGAAGGCTTTTATCTCATCGACTCACTTGATAGTACACTTGCGAACTCACACTGGAGAAAAACCGTACAAATGTGATGTGTGTGAATCTGCTTTTTCTCAGGTAGGCAGCCTGAAGAGACACAGGACAACTCACACAGGAGAGAAACTATTTAAATGCAATGTATGTAATGTGACTGTTGCTGAGAAAGGAACTTTGACAAAACACATGCGGATTCACACAGGAGAGAAACCGTACAAATGTGACTTGTGTGATGCCGCTTTTATTAATTCAGGTAACCGGAAAATACACATGAGAACCCATACAGGAGAGAAACCGTTTAAATGCGATCTATGTAATGACACTTTTGCCAGCCGAAGTACCTTAAAGTCTCATATGCGAATCCACACAGGCGAGAAACCATATAAATGTGATCTTTGTGAAGCTGCCTATTCGATGCCACATAGTTTAAGGATTCACCTCACAACTCACACAGGAGAGAAACCAATTAAATGTGATCTGTGCCAAAGACGTTTTGCTGTTCAAGCCTATTTGACAAAACACATGAGAACTCACACCGGCGAAAACCCTTATAAATGTAAGCTCTGTGAAGCTGCTTTCCCCAGAAGTGACCGTTTGAAACGTCACTTGAAAACTCACGTAGGACAGAAACCATAAAAATCCAATCGTGGTATAAGAGCTTTTCGAGAGCAGTGTCATTCAAAGTCACATCAAAACGCAGTACTTAGCGGAAGAGGATGTGTGAAAAATTATTGTAATTGCTGTTCAACGTATCTGTCCTTTCTATCACCAATGAAGTATGGAAATTTGTCAACCATAATTAACTTATTTCAGAAATCTTTCACACATTCATCAGGTAAACAAGTAGTCGGATGTATCTTGTGAGTTAAAGACCATAGAAGTCTTGATCAAATGAAATTACGACACTACAATTGTGTGACAGTTTAAAAAGAAAAAGCATGTGTGTGTTATCTATATTATAATTATAATAATATAAGCCAGTATTCTCTAGTAACCAAGTGAAAACATGGACATGGGAAAAGCGTGGTGGACAAATTTACGATGGTTAGAGAGACATTGCAAAAAATGGTTAAATTAATTTTAAAAAATGAAGGCAGTTTTATTGTTGTATTTACTTCAGCACATGGCGTGCTTGTGTTGCTACTTGTAAACAATTGTTGAGCATGTATTGAGCTGAGCTGAGCTGAGCTTGTAAGCAATTGCTGAGCAGGATTCCACTTTTGATTTGATGAAGGGAAATGGTTTAGTTTTAGCACAAAAGCACTAGTGGAAATATGGTTGTAATGTTTGGCAACTATTTTGCTCATATTTTCATATACTTTTATTTAATTTCTTTATGGAAGTGTGGTCATATCGTTTGTGTTTTTCAATAGTAACTAACTGCCATATTCACTGTGCTAAGCGTTCTGGAAATATGGTTTGACTGGATTTTCCCTCCAATTTGAACCGGAACTTGACCATTTACTAGTTGGAGTTTAATTCGAATTTCAATGCAACATTGTAGCAATCTTTGCTTGTTGTTTGATAATCGTTTTACATGTTTGTGCAAAAAAAATTGTCATAATTGTTGTCATTGATATAGTCACTAATTGTGTAGTTATTATTAGTTTCACTGTTATTGTTGTCACAGCAACCAAGTTCCTACGTCGCTTGGGAGCAAGCACAGCCGTAGCTAGCGGGAATGGGTAGGGGGAGGGGCAATTAAAGCAGTTCCGTTTCCCTGGCCTTGACAGTACGTGCCACTGGTATACTGCGCACTTAATTGCCAGAACACAAACTGCATATTGCCTTGCACCTCCTGCCCAAGGGCAGAATGAATTAGCCACGGCCCTGACACGTTTATAATCGCGAGTTGTTAAAAAAAATAGATGATATACAAAGCCCTGCAACGGTGTCAGGTATTCTAATAATATCCTTAGTATTTAGTTGTTATACATGGCCAAATAGTAGCCATTTTTAGTTGTGCATCACCAATGAAAAAACGAATAAAAACGAATAAAATCACGTAAAAGTGCAATTCAGATAATCTTCCTGCAAGATTTTTTATTTCCGTATCTTGTAATTTTCCCACAAATTCATACGATTTATGAGAATTACTAAATTCAAGTGTGGGACAGGAAAATCGCATCACTGTGTGTAACACGTCACCATTGCATGTTTAATGAATAACAAAGGAATAAAGTCATGTATACAACAATAGACTTCAAGTAAATTACCTCAATGCAAAATAAATCGATGCTCTGAAGTCGCTTTTCATAAATAATTATAATGCATGTATATTTCAAAATATATTTACAAGTAGTATATTATCTACCCTAGTACCTATTATAGTACCAATGGTATCTACTATAACAACCCCGGGGTGGCACTCCCTACAAAATGGGGTAGGTATGTGCCACTTGAGAGATGGAATTGGAGGGCTCTGGTACTAACTCAGCCCATCAAGATGGGGGTATCCGGAACTAGCGTTTGCTGGAAAGCATGATGCTCCGGAACTGGACATGTTTGCAAGAGGCGGTCTCTGGAACTGGACATGTTTGCAAGACGGGGTATCCAGAACTAGGATTTGCAAGGATTTGCTAGGATTTGTCTCCAGAATTATTGCTTGCTTGAAAATGGAAGCATTTGGAGAATAGGTTGGGTCACTAGAACAGGACTAATTAAAATATAATGGTTCAAGTATGATATTCTCGCAGTGACACGCTCTCTGCGGCCGCGGCAGCACTATATGACCTTGGAGGCATTGGAACGGGACCAGAACCCCCCGTAATACAGAAAACTTGCCAAGGTACCAATCTTACTATAAATTGGGAAATTTAGGGGGGGGGGCAAGATTGTTTAAGTCACGTGGGGCATGTTCGTTCTGTATATATGTAGGGAATAGGCATTGCTTGCATAGGAGGACAACAGCAACATTATTTCCGTGAATTGAGGAAAAGAGCGTTCCGGCACGCAAAAATAAACGTGTGAATTTCATTACGATTTTCTATGTATATACTGTAATATCAGGCGTGTATAATATCAATATATATATATCTCTATGTATAATATATATATATATATAGCTATCTATCTATCTGTCTCTCTATATATATATATGTTATAGGAGAAATGTTAAAGGAGGTTAAGGATATACTTGGGATTCGTTTATTGCGTTTGAGAAGGCTACTTTTGGCCCTTGTCATGATTGCAAATGATGATGTTTTTATTACTTTATCTGCTTCAAAAGGTTGTTTTTCGTTTTTTTTAGAATGGGGAAAAATAATGACAAAAATGGAAAAAAGTTTTGGAGCAGGTAAAGTACTAAAAAATATGAGCACCGACCTCAGATGAGCATTTGACAATTAGATGACCTCAGATGAGCATTTGACAATTAGATGACCTCAGATGAGCATTTGACAATTAGTTCACCACAAGGGATTCAGAGTCTCCATGTTGAGGGCCAGGTCTTACAGCTTGAGAAAATTTACTGCATGGGCCAGGGTTTGAACTAACAGCCTGAAAAGTGAAAGGTAGACCTGCCAACCACTGGACCATTGAGCTCTCTAGCACATAACGTGAGCAATGCACATTGCAGCAGAATTGCTCCCAGAATGCAATGCGCCGCCATTGCTCATTTACTTATCCCATTTACGAATCGGCTTCATGGGAAATTTGCGGCAAATTCGAGCAGGATTTCTCATATAATTCTGGGTAAAGTATGTGGTACCAGGTTGCAAGACGTATATTCCAAACAAGTGACCATTCAGCTACACACAGATGCCAATATCATGGCCGTTGGATGTGTATTTCGTCTGTAGTGCTTTGAAAAGATTGGAGCGTTCCGGAATTTCTGTGCGAACGCTTTCTTACCTTCTCTCTATCACTGTGTATTTGTGCATGCACAAGGGCAGAACGCGCAGTCAAATGGGAGGAACTAGAGTTTATTTTGTCATAAGGTAGTGTGATTATGCATGACACGAAGTATTTGCTAGTCTAGTACTGGAGAAATTAGCGTTTGGATGCGCATTGTGCGGCTTTAAGAAGGAGAGCGTACAACAGTGAAATGCTGAAACCATGTTGCAGTATTAGTCGAATTAAGAAACTTTGCCCGTTTTATTTTGAAGATTCTTTGCGGTATTATTGATCTGCTGTCCTACCTTGCTAATATTAAACAAACCGCTTGTCCCTACGATGCTCCTACGCTGAGATAATGAGCGGTGAAATCTGGTATTTTTGCTACATCCAGCGTGAGGTGGGCTCAGGTGGGGGTCTGTCATCACTATGGCAATCAATAACAGACGTCATTCATTCCATTTGTCAATCATTGACGGAAACATGCGAGTTTTTCCGAAGCTATCTCAAATCGGGAGAAGGTCGCAGCCAACCAGGATCTCGAGTCGGTTTTCGGCAAAAATACCAGATTTTCACCGCTCATTATCTGAGCGCAGGGACAAGCGGTTTGTTTTATATTAGCAAGGTAGGACAGCTGATCAGTAATACCGCAAAGAATCGTCAAAATAAAACGGGCAAAGTTTCTTAATTCGACTAATATACTGCAACATGGTTTCAGCATTTCACCATTGTACGCTCTCCTTCTTAACACGCTCTTGATATAATAATACATACACGCATAATAATACATAATCAGGGGATTATGTATGGGGAGTTATTATCTTACTCTTGATAATATTTATACAAAAATCTCACTTTTAATTGGTCTGGCAGTCCTATATTAGCTTGCAGCTACTTGTTTTAAAGCCATATTTACGAGAATTATCTAGCGTTTTCCCCACTTTTATTACCGTTTAATTACCTACCAGGGTTAGATACTAACTTTTATAGTAACTAGCCCTTGGGGCTAGTATATTTGTGGATCTACTAGCCCCCTTCACTGTGTACTAGCCCGGCTGCTGTAGGAGGCTGGTCGAGTCGCGTTGTGGGTAGGTGTGGAAGGGGGCTGCGGCCCCCTCCCGCAAGGGGGGTATGGAGGGTCTCCCCAGACATTTTTTTACAATTAGGAAGCCAAATCCTGCATTCTGAGCATATCTGGAGTGAAAATTATGGTTTAAAAAACAGAAATTTTGACATATTTTCATATTCATTTCCATTGTAATATCTACAGCAACTCCTTAAGCAGCCGAAAGGACTTCAGAATTAGAATCACTGAAGAGAAGAGGAAGGGACAATATTAGCAGCTTGCTCACTTTCATTATCAGGATTCTTATTGATTTTGGGTGATTCAAGCACTCAACTTTATTAAAAAACTCATCTGGAGTTAGTTGCTGTTTATCGTGCATATTCCCTGGAGCCGTAGAGCTGTAGCAGTTCAGGTCATCGTGTACTGCTATTGAAATAATCAAGCATGGGAATTTCCACAGATATCTTCTGTTATGATAGTTCAGGGTTCGACACTAACGCTAGCTCGATAGCCCGGAGCTAGTGAAAGTTGTGTTCAGGCTACCAAATGTTCCACCAATGCTAGCTCCGACAGGCTAGTAGATTTTTAGGGCGTTTGTACTGTATAATCGCTGGTAAATCACTGTGATTTCTTCTCTTGTCAAATCAAGTCGGCCGCTGAGAAAAACCGCCATCTACTTTTTTTGGAAAAAATAAATAAAACAACTTGAAACAGTCTGATTGCCTGATCGAACAACTGAAAAATTCGAGTCGTTTAATATTCCTATCATCATTTAAGCCAGGGCGCTATCGCACGACATTCTCACGTTAATAAATTATATTACTTATACTTATAATATAATTTCTATTTTCAAATGTCGCCAAAAAAAGCGGACCGTGACAGCGTGCAGCGACAGCCAGCACAGCGTGGCTGCGTACACATGCCTAGCTTGGGCGGCATGGATTGATGTTCGGGGGGGGGGCAAGATTGTTTAAGTCACGTGGGGCATGTTCGTTCTGTATATATGTAGGGAATAGGCACTGCTTGCATAGGAGGACAACAGCAAAATTCTTTCCGTGAATTGAGGAAAAGAGCGTCCCGGCACGCAAAAATAAAAGTGTGAATTTCATTACGATTTTCTATGTATATACTGTAATATCAGGCGTGTATAATATCAATATCAGGGTTCTCCAAGCTTTTTCATTATAGCATGGCGGGGCTGCCTTTATGGTTCTAGTTTTAGCATTTTTTTAGCTAATTTTAGCATGGCGGGGCTCGGCGATAGCCTGGCGGGCCGCCAGGCTATAAGTGCTCTTGGAGAACCCTGAATATATATATATATCTCTATGTATAATATATATATATAGCTATCTATCTATCTGGCACATATCTCTGTGAGGACTGTGACAAATTAACCGTGTACTTTTCTTATTTTGAGACTGAAAAAAGAAACAAACACAACTGCAAAGTGGTATTTTATATTAAAAAAACATTTATTTGCATCCAAAGACAAAAGATAACGTGGTTCATACTGTATGTTTTTACAGAGTAACAAAACAGTAAGCAATCTAGAAGTAGTACTAGTGAGCATTGTGT